CTCGGACTTGTCGACTTCTTTACATAGACATTTTTATGACTTATTTGGGACTTCTCGACCACAATCACACAACTGCTTAGAAACTCTTCATCCAAAGGATCTTCCTCTTAACTAGTTCTTCTCGACAGGTAAGCCCGATCCTAACTTTCGGAATTCTCAACTGCTTTACTTGGACAAATGGTCGAAAATCTCGACCATGGTGCAACAACAAACATGACTAAATTTTGTGTCATACACTTTATCACTATTCAATCATGTGATTAAGCAAATCAACAACGCCTGAGTTCTTCAATATCTTACAATTGTTGCAATTTAGCTAATGATCCTAATAACATTTCATACTATTAGAGTATGGTGACCCAATTTCTATTTGGTTCGGCCTGAGAAGCTCACGGTGCGACATTTGTAATGGAGCTTTAATTATGAAAATTTTAGGGAGTCTGTGGTGGTAGCGGAGGGATCGAGCTGATAAGCCTGATCCTATAGTTTTTTCTGTTTTGGATTTTTCTACGTTAAATCTATGTGTTCTTATTCTGTTCTTCTTTGCCTATTGTTCCGTTATTTTATAACACGTACTAATGTATAGTTGTACCAAACATCCTTTCACAAAGACATCATACATATTAAATATCATTAATATTTTGCTGATCTTATTGAAATTCCACCAGTACTCGTACAAAAGGGAGAGTATTGTTAAAATGTCGAGTAAATATCAGTATTGTTTTAAAAATAGACGGTATGAGTACGCAAATCTCTTCATTTCTTATTGAAATGCCATGTTTGAGCAGTGGCATGATCATCCCTTGTGTTCTTTATTTCATGTTAAGGTGTAAAGAGACTATTTTAAGAGACCTTAGGACATTTTATGTTTGACCAATTTGGTCTTTGTGGTTAAAAATTTAAAATTAATTTTTTTGCACGTAAAGTTTGACCAAATTTAACATGGCATTCCTAACAATACAACGTACAACAAATGTTCACTTTAGGTTTTCCCATGTTTATTAATGTTATAAACTCATAGACACAAGGATACTACTAAATAACATAGATTTTAGAGAAAAAATAATCTGACTTATTTAAAGAAATTTTGACTTATCTAAAGAAATTTTAACTATTAGTACATAATTAGACTCTTGCTTCGCAAGTTCGAATTATGTGAGTTTGAAATTTGTCGGTTGGTAAAGTTGAGTTCAAGTGAACCTTAGACTCAAATTCAAATTCAAAATGTTATGCAATCAAACAAGGACTTGAACTCAAAAGTTGGTTCTAACCCATCAAAATCCTTGAAACAATAAGTTCTGTTTAGTTCGCTGATTCGAATTTTTAATTCGAGTTAAGATGTGACTTTATGTGCCCGTTCACTTCGTTGATTCGAGTTTGTAATTCGAGTTGAGATGTAATTTTATGTGAGAGCTTTTTACTGTAGCAAAAAAATTAGATGTGATTGTTTGTGAGAGCTTTTTACTGTAGCAAAACTCAAATTCTAAACTCGAATTAGTGAAGTGAACGGGGCATGTGAGAGTTTTTTACTGTAGCAAAAAAGTTAAATATGACTGTTTCTAATAACTTTTTACTGTAATAAAACTCAAATTCTAAACTCGAATCGGTGAAATAAATGGGGTCTAAAGTTTTCATATAATTAGATGATAACACTGGAATTTTTATATCCCAAGTGCCTTCCCCAAAAAGATAACAAAAAAAATTCTTCTATTATGAGTACGGAATATCATTTTTGGTTGAAAACATACGGAGGGCTAGCATTATAATCTCCTTTTGCTATTTCACAAGAACTTGTAGAGCCAAAGAAAGCTGCCATGCGACTGTACGACACACACTTTGAGAATATAATATTAATCTAAAGAAAAGAAATGGCATGAAACTAATGCCGAGTGGCACTCAATCAATAGGCCGCAGGGTGAAAGTGAAGCAATGGCCTCCATTTCTAATTTCTATTCGTTGGGGGCAGTTAAAAGGAGCCATTTTTTACACTTTGCAGCAACTAGCCACCCCCATGATTCGACCCTTGCCCCTCTCTCTAATCTTAACACTTTATTAACCTCTTTTTTATCCAAAAAAATAAAATAAAAAACACTTATTAACCTCTTTTTTATCCAAAAAAATAAAATAAAAAACACTTATTAACCTCGTCTCTGAGACTTGTCATTTCAGTCACCACCCTATTCCCTAAAACATCACTCTCCAATAAGCCTACGTGGACGGTTTGTTTGTTGTGCCAAGGACCCCAAAAAAAGTGCAATTTGGTGATGATATTGATTGATTCGATGGTGTGTACTTTTTTTTTTTTTTTTCAGAAAATCTAAAATGTACCTATGAATTTTGCCATATAACATATTTACCTCAATAGTTTGGAGTGTCTCTCACAGGTAATACTGTCGGATAGTTATATTATGATATTAAGTTAAAACAATAGGTAAAAGAAACAGTTTTTAAGGTCAAAGATTAAAAATGGGCTTTTTTGATAAATTCATTTTGTCATCACCTATAACATTAACTCCCCCATAATTTTTATAATTTAAAAAGCATTTTCTGTAAACAAGGTTAGACTATTCTCAAGCTATCATAAAATTTTACGTATTTTAGAGCATTTCAAATGCACTGTTATAATTAACGTGTTAATTATGAATTTCATATTTGAGTGTAAAAAATACTCTTTAATATAATGTTATTTGTTGCACCAACTTTCTCATATGCTATACTCTGTGATAAATTTCTTACTAAGTATAACATATGAAAAAATTAATATTTGATTTCTATTAGTTGAAATGTTAACATTTTCATATAATCATTGCAACTTTTACATTTTTTAATTATTTTAAACATATAATTTTACTTTACAATTTAAAAGCTTAATATTATATAAAAAAATAGATTTAACATTTCAAATAGCATTATACATTAGAGCAAAAATAAAAATAACATATCATATCACACTTTACATAGAAGTTTACTTTACAACTTCTAAAGCTTAATATTATATGAAAAATTAGATTTAACATTTCGAATAACATTATACATTAGAGTAAAAATGAAAATAACATATCATATCACACTTTATGATGGTAAATATACAATTGACATTAACATTTGCATTGGAGATGGTCTTACACATTTGCCTCCTGAACTTGTATAGTTTTAACAACTTACCCTTGAACTTCTAATTTTGACAAGTTACCCCATCAACTTAGAAAATTATTGCAATATGCCTCATTTTAACGATGATTGTGTTAAATTAATGTTGAAAAAACACGTTCGACGAAAAATTACAGCATCACAATTCAAATGTAACTCAAATCTTTCAGCTCTTCAACTTTAATCCCTTAAATCTGATAAAATAAAATAAATTTAGTAAAATGATGCACATTGCAACAGTTTTACAAGTTTGAGAGTGTTGATTGTCAAAATTAAAAGTTTTAGGGGGGCAATTTGTTAAATTTTTTTAAATACTAAAATTGGAAATTTTGAGATCCATTTTATAAGTGCCCTTATAAAACAAATATATAGGTGACATTTTTCATCCGAGATGTAATATAAATTAATAGTTTGGATAATCGTTGTTATTTCAGTGAGTTTTTAGTAAATGAAATACTCACATCCAATAATTTGAATAAGGACTTTCACCCTCAAAAAATTATCATATTTATCACTTGCCGTCCTATTTTAATTATAAATTTTATGACGTGACTTTCTTTATCAATATAATCTTATGTCTAGAATATGGTATCAACCTATCAGTCTCTATTTTGCTATAATAAAAGTTATTATTATCGTATTGGTTTAATAGGACCTAACAATTTTAAATTGCTAGATAGATATCCAAGTGTATATTATACTCAGAATCTCTCAATTTTAAAACAAAAATAATTTGGTAAAGTGGGATTATGGACAGTACATTTAATAAAAAATATATTACATTTATGTCTTGTTAATATGAATATGATTATGAATCTTTGATGTTCAAAAACCAACAATATTTAGACAAAGCCCTACTATGGAAGTGAAAAAAAATCATATGGATAGTACATTTATCCCACAATAATTATAAAATCTGCTACATTTATATTCCGTTAAATTAAATATCATTATGATGTTTAACCCACAATAATTATACAAATCCCTACCACATAACTATCACGGAAGTTTCTCTTGTGCCAAAAAAGGAAAAAGAAAAAACTACCACGGAAGTTCAAAATATGTAATTAAGTAATAAAAAGAGAGAAAAAAAAAAAGAAAAACAAAAAAGGTGCGTGAACCCAGTCATAAAAAAAGTACCAAAAACCCTCTTCCATACTTGTCATGCATGTTTTAGTTGACCAATTCTCAATTGCCCATCAAAATTTTTTTTTGAAGATTTTATTATTAGATTTAATAGATTCTGGTCGACACGTGTTAATACTTGTGATTTCTTGTATGAAACCCATGATTCCCTTTTTTTAATTTCTTATTATTTATTTATAGGTTTTGTTTAATTTTTTGTGGTTAATTTTTGATTGCGTATTTGTATGAAATCGTGTTTGTCAGTCAACGGCTTCAAACGAGTTGTTGAGTTTTACTGTTGGGATTGATCCAACGGTGGGGATTTGATCACTGCGGGGTCAAGCTACTCGGAGACTGTAAAAAATAAAATAATAATAATATTGCTGAATGACATGGACATAATTGCGCTTTTGCTTTTACCCTTTTTTTTCTTTTTTCATTTTGTTTCAATGACCCCAAAATAAATAATTAATAAAAACACGGTATCTTAGGAAAATATTGGATAATTAATATTCCCACGCTCTAAGTAAGCGTGTATGGCTTACACGGACCAGTTGCGACGCGGGACAGTGCTTCTTGTACTTTTCTGCGCGGCAGAACCAACCCTACTTTTAAACTGAAGGCGCTCCAGACACGCGCTCTTTCAGCGCGTGGATTACAAGGCGGAGTCTACTCTAAATCGTGAGCAACTCGCACAAGACTCTCTCTCTAAACCAACTAACACGTCGGAGGAGTTTCTCTCTCTTCGGGGATTTCATGTTTTTCTTCTGATAGCAAATTCTTCGAATTTGGGGGCATCGAAACCCTAGATTCGTCACCATTGTTGAGAGGTTCGGTTTTTTTTAAGATTCGATTATTCATGTTCTTTTTTGTTTTTATTTTTGTTTTATTTTGTTTGAATTTATGGCATTGTTGACGCTTTTCGACAGTAGATCCGTTTCTCTCCTTCGTCTTCGGTGTTTGTCGTTCGGCTTTTCATGTTCGCTTTCTCGAACTCCGTTTCCGTTTCGACGGAAATTCCGAAAATTTATTCGCTTTTCTGCTTTTGAACCCTCATTTTCAAATTTCTCTTGTTTTCCTGAAAATCGTTTTGGATTTCTTTTTTCAATGTATATACGAGTGATTTCTAAACAATATATAGCTCATTTTTCGAGTTGTTCTAGATTTCACTACGATAAAATTTGTCATATTGGTTTTGTATGTATACATCTTAGTTGTTAAATGTTTTTGTTTTTGTACATCAATTAGCTGAATGATATATAATGGAGAAATTTATCGTGTTCCATCGTTTTTTCTTTGCATGGGATTATCTGGTTTTTTCTGGGAAGCGAAAAGGTAACCTTTTGGTATGGGTATTAATAGGAATTTGCTTTTTACTCTTTGAATTGTTTGTGGTCATTGGATAATTTTTAGTTGCCATTTTTGTTCTAGTTTGCGATTTGGTAATTTCCTGGACTATATGTTTGTATTTGTGAGCTGCATTGCGGCCAAAATACGAAAGGATATATAAAGGATTTTTGCGTCATTCTTTCCCTAAGATGGAGAATTTGACCAAGCTATATACAATTTTGAATTTGTAACCTCACTTTTTTCGAGCAATCAATTCAGTAATTTTCATCTGTTGTATGATATCCACATGATTAGTGAAGCTTTTAATATTGTTTTATTCTTACAGGGAGGCTGCTGAATTTTTAGAACTACTTTTTGAAGAATGGATTTGGAAGATAAATTTCTTGCTAAAGGTATAGTCTTTATTACCATTCTTTTTTTTTTTTTTTTTTTAAATTAAGTAATAGCTGCCAATTGGAAAGACAATGTTGTTGAGGAACATATTTTCGCAGACAATTACTGGTTGTATCTTTGTGCTGTACCTGATAAGTTTGTTGTGAGAATTGTATCTTTAGATAATTGCTTACCGTTTTCCTTTGATCTCCTGGTTAGTTATCCATCAGCTAATCTCTTGGTTAGTATCATAGTCTCTTCCATCCTTGTTTCCCTTGCTTAGGTGTGATGTGCTGTTTCTGTTGATTTTTGATTTTGCATTGAACACTGGAATGAAGATCTATGTATGCTTCCATTTATGTATGTTTTAAAGCTCTGCTTTTATTGTTGCTCTGATTTTTATAGAGCACATTCTAGAAGTTGACAGTTATTTTAAGTTGCCTAATTGGGCACTTAGTTTGGCTGCTTCATCATGTATCATAAACCAGATTACAATCTGCATTCATGCCTGATTTAATGCAGACTTTACCTTTGGAGCTGTTTTGATTCTTGCTGTAAATGTTGTTCTAGTCTTATTATCCGCAAGTCATGTATGTTTATATTTCTAAGTTTAGCTTTGCGTGTTTTCATATCCAGTTTCTGGTGTTCAAAGCCTTTCATCCAGTGTGCAAAGCACTCCTGAGAAGAATGGGCATTCTGATGATGTGTCGAGAAGTCCAGAGCTACTTCAAGAGTTTCTGAAATCCGGTCCCAAGAAGGAACTTTTGAAAACTTGCTTTGATAAGGACAAGAAAAACTTAGTCTCGTCAAAAGGAAACACCACAGAAATAGCAAAGATGACTAACAAAACAAATAAGAAGCAGGATGCAAGAAAAGCTTCTTCCAGTCCTAGCAATCAGAGTGCTTCAAGAAAGCAAAACAGAAAGGGAGAGAATCCTATGCGTTTCCCTCCTCCTCCTGAACAGTCTTCAGAATTTGGATGCTCAAACTCGTGGATATGTAAAAATTCTGCATGTAGAGCTGTACTATCTGTAGATGACACATTTTGCAAGAGGTGCTCTTGCTGTATCTGTCATTTTTTTGACGACAATAAGGACCCTAGTCTTTGGCTGGTATGCACGTCAGAATCTAGTCAGGGGGACTCTTGTGGGTTGTCTTGTCATATTGAGTGTGCCCTTCAGCGTGAAAAGGTGGGGGTTGTTGATCTTGGGCAATTGATGCAGCTAGATGGTAGTTATTGTTGTGCTTCTTGTGGTAAAGTCTCTGGAATACTTGGGTGAGTAATAATTTTCAGATCTTTTCTTAATGTTAAAATGCAGTGGTCACCTTGGCAAGGCTCATTTTCTAGCCCCTTGCTAAATACTGTTCCTTTTTTTTTATGGCATTTGTTGCATGGCAATAAAATATTGCTTCAATTTGGACCTCAAAGGAATCATATTGAAGTTCTTTCTTTTAAACTTTGGTTGTAGATAATGTGTATTCTTCCTGACAAATGATTGTGACTAAATGGTTGGTAATAAGAAAACTTTTCCCAGAACCCAAATAAAGCAAGAACAAGGCTACTCACGTTCTGACCTTGGGCTGATAAGATTAATCTGAATTTTATCAATATTGCAGTTCTTGGAAGAAGCAACTAGTTGTAGCCAAAGATGCTCGGCGCCTTGATGTACTTTGTTACAGAATATACTTGAGTTATAGGCTCCTGGACGGAACTTCAAGGTTTCGAGAGCTGCATGAGATAGTTAAAGAAGCCAAGGCTAAACTAGAAACAGAAGTAGGTCCAGTGAATGGTGTTTCTGCCAAGATGGCACGTGGGATTGTAAGTAGACTCTCTATTGCTGGTGATGTGCAGAAGCTTTGCTCCCTTGCAATTGAGAAAGCAGATGAAAGGCTGGCAAACATTTCTAGTGTCAATCCATATTCTAGAGGTTGGAACTTACACAAGATCTTATGTTTTTAATTGCTTTAGTTTTTCTATAGTAAAGTTGTTAAAAGTGATTACTCATGTTCCCTTATTTCGTTTTTCAGAGGATTCACTTCCTTCTGCTTGCAAGTTTCTTTTCGAACAAGTAACATCTTCGTCAGTGGTGATAATTTTAATTGAACTGTCTAAAGCATTATCAGATGATATTAAGGGCTACAAGCTTTGGTATTACAAGAGTAGAGAAGAGATGCACTCGAAAGAACCTAATTGTGTCTTTCCAAGAACTCAGAGAAGGATTTTGATATCTAATTTGCAGGCTTGCACAGAGTACACTTTTAGGATTATATCATATACAGAGAATGGGGACTTGGGTCACTCTGAGGCGAAGTGTTTCACCAAGAGCGTTGAGATAATTTACAAGAATTCTAATTTGGTAGCTGGCAAGACTGGTAAGAAAGAGAATTCCCTCATTGAAAGAAGTGCTAGTGCAAAAAGGGAGTCTAAAAGCGGGATGCCGGTTGGTTCTTCTGAATTTAAGGTTCGTGACCTTGGAAAGATACTACATCTAGCTTGGGCTCAGGAGCAAGGCCACTTGGAGGGTTTTTGCAGTGCAGATATAGAAATGTGCTGCACAACAACCGAAGCAGTAAAGCCTGAAACCGTACAAGAAGAAGAAAGATTGCCTTCGGTTTCACGTGGGCTTGACTTAAATGTGGTCTCTGTTCCCGATCTAAATGAAGAGTTAACCCCGCCATTTGAGTCCTCGAGGGATGAAGATAATGGCTGCAGCTTGCAGCAGGCTGTTGATGACGATGCTGCTTCTCACGATGTATTGAAGAATGGTACTGCAAGATCACACGGTAGTGGTGACTCCCAGACGTGGACACTTGGGGCAACAGGAGACGTGCCGGCTGTTGATTCCCGGACAGAGTTTTGCAGGAAGAGGGCAGCGGGGCACACAAACGAAGAGGCACACGATTGTGACAGCACACTGATTAATGGTTCACCATTCCGAATCTCTAACGGTTCTAGTTGCTTGGATGAGAACTTTGAGTACTGTGTGAAGATGATTCGATGGCTTGAATGCGAGGGTCACGTTACGCAGGAATTCAGGTTGAAATTGCTAACTTGGTTTAGCCTGAGATCATCCGAGCAGGAGCGTAGGGTTGTTAACACATTTATCCAAACCATGATTGATGATCCAATTAGCTTGGCAGGACAGTTGGTGGATTCTTTTTCGGATATAATTTCCAGCAAGAGGCCAAGGAACGGATTCTGTAGTAAGCTGTGGCATTAAACAAGGAGGGGAATTATTTCTGATACCGAGGATTGGTATTTGCTTCATGTTTACTATATGTTCTTTTGATAAATGACCTCTGATCAATTTCGCCGTCGTCTCTGTACAGGCAATTTTTTTCATTAATCACAATCACCGGCAAGATTTGTCCGGCTTAAAGATTTGATCGCTGATTCAGGAGACAAATCTCTGATTTTTCTTTGGTAGGGGAGGCCATTGGATGGAAGGTTCTGGGGAGGCATTTCTTATTTTTCCTTAACTATTCTAGATACAATGAAGCAGTAGAATTTCAACCATGGACCAAATTATGTTATATTCTCTTACCATTGCCTTCTTAAATTCAAAGAAGGGCACATGAATATATGATGGATTTTTAATTGGTTAAATTTCCTCGTCATTGATCTTATAATGTTTTTTTTTTTTTTTTTAAACTTGTTAAATTTGAGGATAAAGATTCGAATTTTACATTTTATCATGAAGTGTGAAAGCTTGCAATCAGAATCTTATAATTATTCTTTTGGTACTTGAAAAGATTATTATTCCAAAAATTATTCATTATCTTTTTCTGGGATAAAATACTGTCAAATCATTACAGTGGGACATCCCAATACGTAAGGGAAGACCTCACTCTCTAGTCTTTTTCCTCACTCTATCATAACATAACGTGATTCGAAATATCTACATGAAGTATGAGATGTTGCGTTATTTTTGTTTGTTTTTTACAACGTTTTTGTATAATTTTTGAGGCATGAAATTAAAAACGGTTTTCAAACTGTATTTATTTAACAAATGTTTTAAAAATAAAAATGAAAATAAAAAATAGTGAGAATAATTTTTGTGAAAAAATTAAAAAACAATTCAAAATTATTTTTCATTTTCTATTTTCATTTCTTAGTACTTATTAATAATGTTATAATATATTAATTAATAATTATAACTAAACACGATTTTATTTTTTTATTATACTCAAAATAATCTTTTAAAAAAAACAACTAAACGTAATTTTAAAATTGGTCTTAAAATGATTCTCAAAATAATCTCATTTTTATTTTTACATTGAAAATAAAATTATTTTGAAAACATTACCAAACATACCGTTAATATCTTACTTAAAAAAAAAAGATTAAGATCTTTGTTGAAAGGTAACTCATAAATGTTTAAGAGAGGAAACAACGGTTTACAAATTCTTATAATTATTTCATGTGATTAGTCAAAAATCTCATAGACCAGTAATAATCAGCAACGCATTAGGGAAAG